CAAATCTCACTCACAGCTAGACAAATCGTAAGATATTACCCATTACTAACTTAAATGGTTCCCATTATTTACAGAATTCATTTTGTAATTTTACCTACTTTGGGGGAGCTGCAAAATTGTTCACATTACTAACTTCAGTTAGATTTTATATCTCTCATCGGTCTATCCCTGCAATCGCAAGCTATAAAACGAAACTTTGAAATAATGTACTTCCTTTTTGGGGTATGAGGGCAAGCACTTCCACTAAACCTGGATCGGTCCTTATAAACACTTTGACGCAGAATTTTTACTGAATTTTTTTTTATTACTCTTTTCATTAAATTGTATTACATTACGTTAAAGAATGAAAAATACTATATTTAGTTTTTCAATAATTTATGATTATGATATTCAGCATGAATCACCGGTATCTTTTTATATGAGTTAAAGGAAATTTTCCAAGCACGGCTCACTTCCAAACAATAATTTTTCAAATTTATACTTCTTTGTAGTTAATTAGATGTAAGAGAAACAGTTATTCATGATTGAAATTTCTTTGATTTACAAAAACGATTATTGATAAAATTTTTAATGTGGATAAATTTTTTTCAAACTACTTTAAAGTTCCAAATATTTCTTAATTTCAAAATATAATTCCGATAACGAATCAGACTTTTTTTAGTAACGATTAGACTGTTTTCTTTAATTACAAAATAACAAAATAAATTTTTGTTTGCAATTAGAGTGCCCGAAAAATATATATGAAAGAGACACTAGTGTCCCATCTGCGCTAAAAGGTAAAATCTATATTTTATCAATAAAAAAGTTTAGCCGTATTATTTATTAAAAAAGAAACAACATTGCTTACATTTTTTTCTTCTGAATAACGTCTTTTGAGTTACGCATTTTCACTGTTTAAAACTGAAAATTTGGCCACATCAGGCTTAGATGGTTCAATTTGTACTCAACATAAAAATTGTACCTGGAACAAAATAAAGGGAGACACCAATGTCTCATCTGTGTCATAGGGTTGAAGAAATATTTTATCAATAAAAAAAATTAAAAAAAACACCAAATGCGCCAAAACTTACACGATGTATTCGATCGAATTTAAATAATTGTTAAGGGTGCAATAAACGAAGATAGGTATTAATCTAACAGAACCATAAGCAAGCAATTGATACTATATTTCAATTTTTTGAAAACTATGATACCTATGGAAATATTCCGTAGCATTTGATGTTCGAATTTCAGGTCACTAGCTGATATGAATCTGAAGTAGCTAAACGGGATAAGCGAAGCAGGTATATATATGAGCACACTAACTCTTCCGTTTATAGACAGTTACAGCAGTGATTTCATTTTTCACTCTTGCTTTTTGAGTAAAATATTTTAAATGATTAAAACTGAGAATTTGTTCCATCAGGCTTAGATAATACTTCAAATTGTACTCTACACATCAGAAAAAGAATGCATAAAAGGGACACGGATAATCTTCGTCAAAGGATAAAGAAATATTTCGTGAATAAAAAAGCTCTGTTACAAAACAATATTACAGTAAACTTTTACCAAACATTTCGTATTATATTACTATTTTCTATACATTAAAAGAAATATATAAAGCTTCAACAGATATTCCAAAGCATGAAAGCAATTCCAAAAGTGAAAGAATATTTCATTTTGTTTTTATTTACAGTAGTCATATTCAAGATATCAATAAAGCGATGGCCATCTTAGCGCTCTACTTCCTTTTCTAATCTACAATGTGTCAGTGAGTTGAAATGGAGGATGAATGTCAAGAGAAGTCATTCTTATCAGCTTCTGAATGACATACGCCAAGTGGTTTGAAATGACGAATGAGGAACACAACTTATGGCTAATGTAGCATTCGAATCAATGTATCGGAAGTGAAGAATCTTTTGAAAGCTGGATCCGAAAAGCCGTGAACACAAATCATTGCCTCAATTAGTTTCGGTTTCGGAAATGTGTCAATTTTTATGGATATATAAAATTTGAAATATTTGATTCAGTAATGTCGCTTGCTAGGGGACAATGAATTGCAGGATTTTACAGTGTTAGAACACTAACCATTCTTTTGAAATTATATTGCAATTAAATATTGCATCTAACTAGCTAAATACAAGCTATTCTTACGAGCCAAAATTAAAGGTAAACGTGCAATTAATTAGTATTAATCATCACTATGCATAAAACTGACAAACATATACAACCAGAAATAAAAGCTGATCAATTCAACCGCAACATTTGCATATGACTAATGAAACAGTGGAATCAATATATCGGAAATGATAAATCTTTTAAAAGTTGGATCCAAAAAGAAGTGAAGACAAATCATTGGCCCAATTAGTTTCGGTTTCGGAAATTTATCAATTTTTATGGATAGGTAAAGTTTAAAATATTTGATTCAAATTTGTCGCTATATAGGAGCAACGAATTTCTGGATTTCACAATTTTATACACTAAAATATTCTTGAAATTATATTGCAATTTAATATTTTATATTATAACCGTCGACCAGATTCTGGTCTTATGACTACTTGCGTTCAACTCCGTAGCCTTGTAGTGTTAAACCTGATCCAGGAGAAAAGGGAACTCCTGGATTAAGTATTGGGAGAAATTAGCCTTCGTGGAGGACTTTTTGATGGAGCTAACCCGTATTAGTGTTGCACGGAGAGGAAAACCTCCAACAGTTAGCCTGATGGCAAGAAAATTCTAATATAAGATCCGTCTACCTCTGACGTTGTGTCGCTTCAGCAATGTGGTCAGTGCTGGCCGGGAGCAGAATTTGTATCAACCAGCCACCACTGGGATTTGAACTGGGTTCACCTCATTAGTGAGAAAACGCTCTATCTACTGAACTGAATATCCACTATTCTTACGGGGAAGATTAAAAGTAAACGCGCAATAAATTGGTAATAAACAAGTTAGCATTATGAGTTTAAGATCAAATATGAAAGGCATACGTATGCACAATTAAACACTAAAATGATTCAATTTTGCTGTTTTCTGATAACTTTACATTATTAGAATAAGAAAATCATTTTTTTAAAAGTTAAATTAATCAAAAACATGATTAATAAAATTTAGAATTATTGGACACTGAAAATTATATTAAGGTCAACTGTCAACTTGTCAACAGTTTAGCCTTTACTTTCAATTAAATTTGTACTAAATACATAAATTATTTTGTTATTTTTCCATTCCACAGGACAAGTAAAATCATCTATTTTATTTGTTTTATTTATTATTTGGTTGTTTATTCTATTTTAAAAAAATAGTCTCCTCGGGCATTACCTAAAAAATATAAACAAATAAATTGAACAGTTGAATTTACTTGCATCCTGTAACTTCTTTTCACCCTGCGACTTTATTGCCTCTACTTGCAAAAGGGAAAAGTATCCACACACTTTTTTATTTCAATTACTGGTGATTTTAAATTATTTATGTTTTATGAAATACGTTTTGAAAAACATATTCGCAAAAAATAGAATTTTAAAGTTTTAAAACTAGAGAGAGTTCTTAAACTATTAATTGTATGGCGTCACCTTAAGCTGATTTTGTTGAAGCTTGCATTGCGCAATCGATCAAATATAAATACTTATTAAAAAAAGGTGTAATGAACAAAGATCGATTTTGATCAAACAGAACGATAAGCTGCAAAAAACTGATACTATAGTTAATTTATTTCAGAAACTTAACATCTACTAACAACATTCTAGTCACCATCTACTAGTAACATTCGCTCTCCTAATTTCTGGTCCCTAGTTGAAACAGTTCTAAACATGCAAAGAGAAGCAGACATATATACGCACAGCATGAAGAGAAAAAAAAACAGTTTACAGTGAATAGTTTTTAATTTAATGATTGGATCTTCACGTTCGAGAACTCAATCTAAATGTTTTGAAGGAGTGAACTCAAATATGCTTAATTATTTGATGCAGATGGCATTTTAACTTACGAACCAGAGTCGAAAAAATTTTGAATTGTAAGGCGTACAATTTTTACGGCATTTTAAAAGAATGAAATTTTCTATAGCAGAATGCAAAATTTGAGCGAAATCAGTCGAATAGTTTTTGAGAAATGGAATTTTATAAATACTACCTCTTTTAAATTTGATTTCTCTGGAATTATTCGACCGATTTCGCTCAAATTTTGTATTCTGTTATATAAAATTGCATTCTTTAAAATAATGTAAAAAATTGAATGCCTTACTATTCAAATTCTTCCGACATTTTTGTAATAAAATAATAAAAAAATAATAAATATGTGCAAAAAGTTATTTTGTATGGACTTATCTTTGGATAAAAAAAATTTATGCTTTCGTTTGAATTTTTTTTAATTCGCTTAAAAAGTTTTGGAGACACGGAGAAATACGCAAAAAGTAAAAGTAACAATAAGGGGTCCAAGCTGGACCCCTTAATGTTGGGACTCATGACCCAACTATTGGGATCATATTTTCCAATCATGGCAACCCCTTATATTTCGGGGATAAGAAATCCAAATCGGTTGAAAAATAGGTATGCTTATTCTGAGAAAGTACGCTTTCGTATCTGGTTTTGTAACTTAAACTATCGTCTGTAAGTATTAATTAGCCTACTTGGTCACACCCTCGAACCTTTAAAATTCAGTTCCAGTTATCGATTAAAACAGAATTTGGCCACATAAAGTTGAGATGATACTTCAAATTGTACTCGACATTTGTACCCTACTAATATGTTTTATTTTAAACCAAAAAAAAAAAAATAACGTAATAAATTAAAACATGTTTTAACATAATCATTTGAGGTGAGAAATATAAAAAATTTAATTAATTAAAATGCATGATTAAATACATTTTTTAATCTTTGCTTTAATATTCTTTAACTTCTGTTTCGAAAAAAATGTTCTTATACATTGTTTCTTTCATACAATAGGGGAAGACTATGGACAAAAAGTTGGAAGAAAAAATTAGCAATTATTTATAATTATGGATTGTTATAAAGCAAATTATATTTTTATACTAAGGATAACTCCATACTGAAATACCATAAGTAACAATATAAAATAGAGGCGGAAATAATTTTATTTAAACAGAGAATAACTTAGTATCCAAGAAGCAATTTGTTATTCATTAAAAATCTGTTTTAAAAAGTCAAGTTTTCTGAAGTTTCAAGCTTCAAAATTTAAGTTTCAGTCTAATCTTCAGTAGATGTCGTTTTCTTTCAAAAGCACGCTCGTTAATCTTTGAAAAACACAAACTCTTAAAATTCGTAGTTATTTTTTTTTCAAAATATTCAAGTTGTCTTTTGATTTAATTTCTCCTTTGGGAGCAAAAACTTTTCTTTCTTTTTAAATAATTTAATTTAATCCGGAAAGAAAATCTAAAGAAAAGATACTACCTTTGAGTTGCTGGATGCGAATACTAAGTAGAAAAGCCACCTCAAGATTAAGTAGTATTTCATACTTCCAAATTACTTTCTTCAGTTAAATCTAGAAAGAAAAATTAAGCAATTAGGAACAAAGCTTGTAAGTGAGGAAAGAAGAAACTATTACTCTATTGAGATTTCATGTTTACAACTGGAAAAAAGCGATAAAAAGCTGTAAAAAGCTGTTTTCTGCTTAATTAATTATTTGGCTTACGCCCAAAAATGTAAAACAAACTTCAAAGCTAATGTTAGCATAATAAAAATTACAATATAATTGAGATTAATTGAAAATCATAGTAAAGTATCAATTTTACTAGTTATTTTTTATCAATTCGTTCAAAAGCTACTACAATGCACGATTGGCATAATGTGTAAAGTAATGCATGCAAATTAAAAAAAAAATATTACTTTTGATTTTTAAATTAATTTCATGCATAATCAGTTACTTTTGAAAATGCTTAAGACTAAATAATAATGAAAATGCTATGAATACATTAATATACATGGTCTGAATAATTGGAATAATTTATTGTTTCATTGGAAGTTCAGACACGAATCCCGTTCATTTACAACTTACATGGAATAAATATGAAATAAAATATTTCTACCCACTTTATTCAAAACAGACTCAGTTTGAGTATCAATTTCATTCTTACCTGATATTTTCATAAAGTAATGAAAAAAGTACAAATTATAGTTAAAACATTTACTAAAAAGCATATAAATTAATATTAATTTACTAAAAACATATTATACAATTCATTGTTAGTTACAGATAACTTATATTATTAAGTGGAAATGTTGTGAAACTACATAATAATATAATTAACAAATACTGTATGATGTATGAAAATTATTATTTTTAACATTGAGTTAATTAACAATGTCAAGCCTTAACAAAAGTTCATCACGTTTGAAAGACAGAAGAGGGAGTTTTGATGCAGGTCAAAATTTATCGAGAAATAAATACACCCTTCATTTTTCATTTCTTTCTGGCAAAATGATTTTTTTTTTACTTCGATAAGGCAGTTTGTTTCTTATTTTATAATTTTCTTCGTTTTAGTGTTTTGTCCGATCTGGTTTAAAGATCGGAAAGTAGTCAAAATTTTAAAAAGCTGTTAGTATTTTAACCATCATTTTGGGAAACATTTGTTTTCTGTGTTGGTATCAAGCAGATTTCTCCAGAAGAAATTTGAGAGTCACTAAGCTGTTTTGGAACAGGTCAAAATTTTGCTTGGATACAAAATCAATAAAATGATACATAAATATAATAACTATAAAATGATGGTCTAAATTTTTTTTCTTGCAGAGGTCAATAGATGTTTAAACTTGTACTGCCGACAATCAAAGGGATTCTGGTAAAATCTAAGCACTCTAGCTTGTGTGCATCGTTCTCTGATTCAGGTCAAAATTACGATCTGTGAATGTATGAATGGGTCCGCCCTATAAACGGGTGTGGCGTATGGTGTGGAAGAAGTCGAATTCTTCGACATAGATGGCGCCACTGAAAAACAAGAAACGCTCACTCTGCCTTACATTTGCTCGGTTTCACCAAGCAGGCTTACCCGTGTGGCAAGTGGCATTAGAGCCAACCAACCACTCTAGCTTGTTGGACAGGAAGGAGTTTAAACATCGAAAAATTATTAGAGGTTGTATTAACTTTAGATGCAGTGCTCTCACGATGATCTAGTTAGTTGGATCTAGATGAATCTAGTTAGTTGAAAAGGGGTTGGAGTTTCAATTAAATAAAAAAAAATTATTTTGCTAATTGTATTGGTCAGTAAAGGATTGAAGTAAGTGTTATCAATAGAGTGTCATTGGAGATTTAAGTGCTCTATTTAGTCGGAAAGTGATTGAAACTGATTTCGCAATCCCACTATAAACAGTAATAGTAATAAAATAAGAAAGAGTACAAATATTGTAGAAAAATATTATAGAAAAATATTATAGAAATATGGTATATTATCACAATATTTTAATTTTGCATTGAAACAAACCAAAACCAATTTAGGGCGGGGCAGCCTGGTCGTTAGGGTGCTGGGACCATGTCCGAAAGTTCGTGAGTTCGAACCCCGCTGGCCGAAGACTCCCCGTGGTGTAGTAAAGTGACTGATACATGGTAAATCTGCCGTGTCGTAAAAGTCCTCCATGTTCCCGTAACAAATCAAAATCTCTGGGGGTACTGGATTGGAGATCGATCATTCTCTGATTCAGGTCAAAAATTACAATGTGTGGATAAATGAATGGGTGCATGAATGGGTCCGCCCTACAAACGGGTGCGACGTATGGCGTGGCAGAAGTCTAATTCTTGGCCATAGATGGCGCCACTGAAAAACAAGAAACGCACACTCAGCCTTAAACTTGCTTGGTTTCACCAAGCAGGCTTGCCCGTGTGGCAGGTGGCATTCTAAATAACAGCAAATCCAATTTGTATTCTTAACTATCTCATTATTCTCTCCCCATAACGTTAAACGTTATTTTTTAACTGGAATACTGTGATATATATAACTCATGAACATCTCATTTTTGAACTAAAAATGGAGTTCAACAGCATCAAAGTTTAAACTTAAAAACATATCTAGTTTATTCATAAACTAAGAATGAAACAAATTACCATTAAGGTTTTCTTATCAAAACAGTTTGAATAAATGACTAGTAGCTAAGATTATTTTAACAAAGCTTTTACCATTTCACTAAGTGGCCATTTTCAACTTCTGTTTCTGGTATCAGGTAACTTAGGTCGAAGACATGAAATGTCATAATAGCAAGAAAAACATTGTTCGAGATTAGATGAGATGTTTTTCTGATTTCTATAGTCCTTTTGCAAGGGATGGATGGAATGAATCTTTGATTATTGTTCCTTTCCATTTCTACTGATTGGTAGATTTCAACTGTAATTAAGTAAAAACTCCCCGAGATATGATAAAAAGAAAATAAAAACTGATCTTTTTGAACCCGTCCATGTAAATGGGATACCTACGTTCCTTTTATACATTTTTTCTTACGCTTTATTTACAAGTAAAAATATATCTTGGCATTTTTAAATTATAAAATACAGTTCAATAATTATTAAAAAAGTCCGTTATTATATTTTTACTAAAATATACAATCCAAAAAAAAGTGGACTGAATATTTTTTTAAATACTTGATTTTTTAAATTAAAGAAATTTCAACATTGAATAGATGTTTCTCTTAGATCTAAAAACTGCAAATGAGTGCAAATTTGTAAAATTTTTGCCTGGAACTAAGCTGTTTCAGGAATATTTAATCTTTGACACAGAAAGAGACATCGATGTTTCATGTTGTATTTCATTCAAAATGCTAAATATAATATTTTCAATTATTTTAACGTAAATTAATACAAAATTATGAAAAAGTATGAAATGTTAGCGAAAATTCTGCGTCAAAAGGTAATCTGAGAATATACTTGATTTTTATTAATATTGGATGAAACAAATTCCAAAAGTGTAGCTAAATATGTATTTCTTTTGATATTTTCCTTTTTTAAATTTGTATGATTTTTAAAAAAAAAAATTTCCCCTTATGCGACTGCATGTAAATTAATAAAAAATCAATTAAAAATTGTATCGCTATCTTACAAGTTATATTTATCTAAAAAAATCCTTATTATTGGGTTTCTTCAGACTTAGTACTACTATGCGGTGTTTATCCGCATGTGAAATTAGTTGTTCTATTATGAGTGAGGTAATTTGTGACATTTAATAAAATAAACGAGAAATTACAGATTTCGAAAATAAAAAATAAAATAATAAGCGATTCATTACAACTAGCAATTATTTATAATAAAATATTAATCTTAAATTTATGAATATTAACAACTATATATTTATGTTTCTATCATAAAGTAGTTTTAAATTTTTCGTCAAAAAAATTTTTTTGTGATAAATTATATTTATTTTCTGAATTATCATGTCCACACTAACATTGCTCAAAAAGTTAAAGTTATCCCCATTTTTATAATAAGATGGCATTTTAGATTAGTGTTAAAGAAAAAATTACGAAGTTTATAAGCCAAGAAAATAATTCATAGTAAATTAATTACATTTACAAAAACATATCAGAACATGTTTTTTATATATCTTGAGTAAAATAAAATTTTTTAAAATTAAAAACTGCTTGCGAACATTTAGTAATGATAATTTTCATTAAAACCAAAAAAAATGTCTTTAAATAAGCTATTAACACGAGTTTAAAATAATTTAAACTAATAGAAAATGATGGAAATTATTTTAACATTTTGAAAAAAAAATATCTAATTTTATTTATTTACATGTCATTCAAATTATTTCCTCTAGGGCAATCATGTCCTGTAAGATGAATAAATTTTCTCCAGATTTTACATCAATGCTGCTCTCAAACAGAAACACATCTTCATAAATTTCTTTTTCCATTTTGATCTTTCCGATTTTTCAGTTTTCATACATATTCATGACTCATACATAAATTGATTATTTTGACTCGAAACTTTCAGTTGACAGAAACAACTACGTAGGCGTTCGTCAAGTTATGAACAGAATAAACTGAAAATATTTTTTCGGTTGATTGGGAAGACACTAAAGAAAACATCACTGTCACAGCCTCAGCAGTTAGTAAGGTCTCCTAAATCACTTAATAGTATTTATCCAAATATAAGATAAGAGATGTTCAAAAGGTGGTGGGAATAAATAATCGAACAAGAAATAATCTTGTTTGATCAGGATAGGTAGGGGAAGAAATAACTCGGAGTTCTAAGTTAAGGCTGACACTCCCTTTTACGGGCTTGGTTTCTTTGCCCATGTGGGACTTCAGGCTTTTTCAAGATGTTGCTAAACTGTAGATATAATCTGACTTCCTTATTAGTACAAATGGCACTTCGTTGTGTAACAAGTGTGTATTTCAAGGAGTTTTGAGAGTTATTTATGTAACAGAAATATATTTATATAAGGACAGTGAGATAAATTATGCTGTAGTCAGGTAAATGCCTTCAAAAATTGCGTATTTTTCCGTTTGTCCGGTGCGAGTAAATTCAGTAATTTGTTTTTAATTATGCTATAAATTTATTTA